GATCTTCAATATTTATATAACAAATACTGGGAATACTGTATTAAATATTACTGTCAATTAAATATGATATTTATTTTCATATTTTTGTATCATTTTGAAAAAGTAATATTTCAGTTTTATATATAAAGCTTAAAATATGATTTGTGTATACTTTTTTTATTTTTATAGCTCTAGTATGAGTTCCCGTGGCCGTGGATTCAGTTCTAGGGGAGGCAGTTCTTATAGGGGTAGAGGAGGTAGTAGTGGAAATGAATGGAATAGTGGATCTACAGGAGGAAATATGTCTAGCAGAGGAGGTTATTCCTCGTCTAGAGGAGGCAGATTTAAATATTCAACCACCAGTTATGATTCTCGTTCAAAATATAATTCTGGTTAGTGTTTTTATAACATACTTTCTATATAGAAACAATATAAAATTTAATATAAACAATATAAATTACAATAATATAGGTCAACAATATTTCTATCATAAGTAATATTAATAATTATTTTTGTTTACAATAGGAGGGTCTGAAAGATATTCTAGTAGAGGAGGAAGAGGTGAACATTCAAATAGCTATAAAAGACCAAGAGTAAGTATATCAATAAATAAATTGTAATTTAAAAAATCTATCTTTATCTACATAAAGAATAACAAATATTGAAAACGTTTATTTCATTTAGGATTCTTATTCTGGGAGAGATGAACATCGGTCATCAAGTGATTCAACTCGAAAAAGGATGAGAAGTGATTCATACCAGGTATGTATTTCATAAATCTAAGTGTAGTGATATTTTTATTAAAAAACACCTCAAATAAGTGTTAGTCTATTTTGTTTCAATCTCCTGCCGTGCTGTGGTCAAGAATCATTTTTTCATCTTGAAAGCCCTGCTTCACAAAAGTTTAAATTTTTTAATTACATAGCATGATCAAACGATGGTCCTGAAAGATTTCATTAATAAAACTTCAGTATGAAATTGAAGTATTTTGTTCCATATAAAAAATATTTTCAGGACACTCGTCTAAACACTTACATTTAAAAAAAAAAAAA